GGCTTCTCCCATTTGATGTTATAGTAAAGCATGTGCTTGGCCCGTTCCCTGCATGGCCAGCCAGCCGTCCCAACTGCATTACAACCACCATCTGCTCCACCACATTCCTATGGCGTTACCCCTGTCCGCTTTCACGTTCACCCCCGGTTCGATCTGTCCTTATTATCTTATATTTATTTCTTGGGTAATTACCTCTCCATGTACACACTCCTCATGTGCAGATTTCCTGTGTGTGTGACTTCTTTCATGATCTGAATCACTGGTAAATAAAAAAAGGCCCCTGGAAATTTGATCAATGCAAAAATGGCACCCCGATGTAACTTTATAACATCACTTTAACGAGAAGAATAAGATTAATTACATTAGATAGATGGAGCGCAGTGTTACGAGCTCTAAACGAAAATCTGTTCAAAGTGCACAAAGACGCGCACACCGCAGTGGGCCAATGCACTAAACGTTTTCACCGCATGCCTGTGTATTTCCCTTATTTGCTCTTTGGTAGAGGCAGTAAAAACGAGTTGGTGGTGTGTCACTCGCGTGGCTGTCATTAAAAGACTTTGTGAGGAGAAGGAGGAGGAGGAGGATGGGAGACACTGAGGGAGTAAAGTTTTTTCTTTGTGCTTTCAGCTGTATGGTAATTGGGCCGGGAGCACCTGCTCTCTCACAATAATACATCACCAGAGAGAGAGAGAGAGAGCACGACAAATTGCATAAACAATAATCTTATAGCATCATATATTTCCTGCATACAATCACAAGAAATAACACATTAGAGACCACAGCTACAGCTAAAGTGGACTCAATAGGTCCCTGAATGGAACATAACACTGACTGGCCACATGAACCCACTGCCTAATTTAAATATCTGTATCTGTGCAGAAAAATGTGGGGAAGAATTCGCACTTGTTGGCTTTAGTATGAGCTGATCTCTGGTTGGGAAGTAACAGAAGATGTTGGTGTGTCGTGAATAGTGTCCACCATTCATTAAATAAAAGTAAATCCCCTGCAGTGCTCTGCTGTTTTGTGAATTTTTTAGAGTCATCAAAAACTTATAAAGACATCAATCATAAAACCTACCAGTTATTTATAAACCACAGAATATCTATCTATCTATCTATCTATCTATCTATCTATCTATCTATCTATCTATCTATCTATCTATCTAGTTACTGATTGGACAGGACTGCCAGTTGATTGGGTTTTGCTGCCACACTTGTCAAGCCACTCAACCTTCACAACAAAGATCCAGGGGCCTCCTCTCTGAATGATCTCATTATCAGTGTGATTCTGCGGGTAGTGAAGCCCACTGAAAAACAAATGGTCCAGAGTACTGTCTTGTAATGTGTGCACATAGACCTACAGTTTGTGCACACACAGGCATAGGGATGTAGGGGTGGTGGAGGGGAAGGGGGCAGGGGTCCTAATTAACAACTCTAATTGAAGCCTCTCTGTCTCCACAGCACCACTGTTTTGATCTGCTATCACCACCCAGGAACAAGACCTTTATTCATAGTCCACGTCTCACTGTGTCTTATATGGACACCTTTCAGTCCATCCTGTCAGCACATAGACTGACTTCTGCATGAAAACTGGTGGTGTATCACAGCCTGGCTATAATTCCCTCGGGTCAGCTATAGATAAGTGTCCACGATGTTCTTTACATCCTTTGAGGCTGATTGAATGGCCTTTAACCTTAATCTTTAAGACTATTATCACTGGCTGTCACAGTTTTTCCAGATACCCGTATGTGTGTATAGCTATAGGACGCCTCTTGGAGCCGCACATTTCATTTAACCAGTTGATTTCAGCCCCCTTCTCAATAGCCTACAATGCTCCTATGTGGCGTAGCGTAAAATCCCTCTCTTGAAACCTTTTATTTACACTCATCCCGACTTTCAGAGGTCCCCGGTGCTCTTTCTCTCCCTCTGTGTATTAGGCCAATATACTATCTGTCATTCATCGCCATGATGTGGCACACATTTTCCGATTACGCCAGCAAAGTGTGACTGAAAGGCATGATGAGATAGAAAGTGACCCCCCTGCCTCGTTCCGCAGCACCGAAACATTTTCCTCCAAAATATAATTTATACCAGGAGATTCTCTAATTGTGTCTAAAGGAAACCACAGAAACTCCTCCCCTCTGATCCCTTTTTGTGCGAGTGTGTGTGTGCTGGTGTGCGTGCACGTGTGTGAGGTTAAAAAAATGTTTAACTGGAGGTCGATTGTTTAACTGAAGTGCTTTATTATTGTCCGTGTGTACGTGCACCTGCATGTGTACGCGTGTCCGCCGCGCGCGCGTAAATGCCTGCGTGCGTGTGTGAGTGTGAGTGTGTGTGTGTGTGTGTGAGTGGACCTCTGTGACACGCAGGGGGACAACAAAGGAAGAGGTCTTGCGCCCCGCCGCCCATTCATCCCATTCTCTCGCAAAGTAATTCCCATTGATTCTTATTGAACGGAGAGTCGCGAGCCCCTCAGGGGAGAGCTGTGTGATTTGTGAAGGGTCATGAGGACAAGACACGCCCCTCCGCGAGCCCCGGCCATCTGCTCACCAAACACCACAACACCAACCCGCTACCAAATGGCTTCCTCCATCTATATAAAGTCTCTTAATTTCTCCTTTTATACCACCTCTTCTTCTTCTGCGTATCATCCTCTTCCTCCCATCTCTTTCTCATCCCTCTGTCTCCTTTCCCTTCTTTTATTACTCTCTCCATTCTCTGATTGACAGGACAAATTCCTCCAGAGGTGAAGCACTAGTGGGGCAAATCACAGTGGAGGCATGCAGTGGGTATGAGGTGGCCATATGGCTTCTGTGTGTATGTCCATGCCAAGAAATGGATGGATGGCCGTCGTGGGAACCTCCACATCATCAGCATCACACCAAACAAACACACACACTGTTGCACATACTGTAGCATGGCAGCCTTTGATCTGGCCAGTGATTGAAAGTTTGCAGGGATTCTGGATTGAGCCAGAACAAATGTAATTTGCACAGACCGGCTTTACATCCTAACCAGTGCCGACTGGGATATTTAATATGTGCCTGTAATTTTATTAGTCTCATTCTCTGCATTCATTACACTTTTGTTCAATCACAATGTGTTGAGGTAGACACAGCTTCAATTTGAGACTCCACCTCGCCCCCCAGCATAATGCCTGTGCATGAGGACATGTGTACACACTAGAAGTCAGTACTCTGGAGTACAGCTTCTTGTTCTTCAATGGGCATCACTACCCACAGAAACACATTAATAATTAAATAATTCAAAGAGGAGGCCCCCTTTTCCTCATCTTTGTTGTAAAGGTTGAGTGGCTTGACAAGTGTGGCCACAACACCCAGCCCATGCAGAAGGATAGATAGATAGATAGATAAATAGATAGGTGCTGGTGTGGTGAGAATCTGTTCTGTGTTGATTTTAATGAGAAAGGGAGAGTCGTGTGGTCAGGCTGGTGAAGTCCCCCAGCAACAACAACACTATGATGTCAGAAACTTGAGACTCACGTGACCCCTCCCCATGTGAACCACAGAGATCTGAGGCTGTCTACCTACAGTCATGGCCAAAAATATTGGCACCCCTGCATTTCTGTCAGATGCATCACTTCTCCCAGAAAATTATTGCAGTCACAAAGTCTTTGCTATGTTTATTCCTTTTGTTTGCATCGAAGCAACACAAAAAGAGCAGAGAACAAAAAGCCTGTGAGAAATGCGTTGTCTGACAGAACTGCAGGGGTGGCAATATTTTTGGCCTGGACTGCACCATCTTAGTCAGGAATGAAACAACTTAACAACAACCCGTTAGCTTCTGTGTGTGAACCTTTGTTAGACCTTTGTTATAGGATGTAGTGTGTTAACCCAAATTTAATTTCTGGCCCTAATGGGCCATCCTTAAGCATTTTAGAAAAGGTAGTGAGTCCGTTTAATGTGAAAATATCTATGTAATGTGTATTAACATAGATTGGAGGTTTGATTTCAAATTTGTCATGATAATGTTTTGTTCCGCCATGACTTATACTTTTAAAAAAACAGCCCAACATTTTAAACAAATCACACACTTGCTGCTCCCTGAGATCCCTGCTCTGTGCCCCCCTGCCCCCATGGGTCCTTGGTCTTTAGTTTGGGGAGCAGTGGCCTCCAGCAGCAGGATTAGCCAGGCCAGCTGCCCACAGAGACCCTGAGCCCCGCACGCTGACATCAGGGCTGACCCCAGGGTGGCTACTATCAGGGACACTGAGGGGATCTCGACAGCACTTAGCATGTATTTGTATGTGTGTGGTTCTTTCAGTTGGACAACTGTTGAGCCAGTACAGATTTAGGCAGCGGTGCTCTTTGTATGTGTGTTCGTGCTTGTATGGTTAATTCTTTCCGGGGGTTAACTGCTGATCCAGTACAAATGGGGGGTGTTGGGGGGCAGGGCTGAGGGCAGTCTTGTGCTCCTGGAACATCTGCCTGTTTAGTGGAGGAGGAAGACAAAGTTGTAAAAGGTCCAATGTGAATAAGCAACACACCCAAACACTGACTGTTGAAAATCAAACGT